GCTAGTTTGTGGAAGGATACCCACTGGCCTGTGTGCGATGCATTGCCATATCAGTCTATCAGAAGTCCAAGGTCACTACAACCTGGTGCATCCAGATACAGGAGAATCTGAGTCATTGTAGAATGATGTTAGGGCTAGAAGAAACATGTCTTAAGCTCCATCTCGATGCCAAAGCCAAGGGGCTCAGTGTTAGCCTCTCTCCTACACCCAAATGTGAAGAGAAAGGAGCGCTAACAGGGATTGAGCCTTGTCACATGCCACACTGCTGGCCCCAAGTCTTAGACACATCATCCCCTTGAATTTCTTTAGTAGTCTCCTCCATGTTTTGAAACTGAGTATGCAGGCAGTTTTCTGGCTTTCCCTGGGTCACACAGCCTAGAAGTGACATGGTCAGGAGTGAAGCCCAGTACAAGAGTACCAGCACTTGACCTTTATCACTGGGGTCAGCAGGCTGTGGCCAAATCAGCTATGTGTACCTTTCTGTCATCCCTAAACTGCCTGGCTCTTTTGCACTCAGCAGTCATTCAGCTGACCCCATGGTTTTGTTCATCCCTCAGGACCCAGCACAACTCCACTCTTAGCAGCTTGCCTTAGCTCAGAAAGTGACAGTAGAAGGGAAGATTATCATAAGTGGCAAGTTCACCGGCCTCCTAAAGGCCATGCATTTTGGGCTCCAGCTTTGATATTAACTGGCTTCAAAGAATTTCACCTCAAAGTCTAAATAAGGGTTTAGACCAAATGACAATGGCTGCCACTGAGAGCTTAGCCCTTGCTGGGCCCCATGCCATCCCCCTTGTCAATGCATTGTCCCATTGGCTGCTTACTGTCATTTGAGGCAGGGATTATTGAGAAGACAGTGGTGTTCAGAGAAGGTAGGTAAATGGGCCAAGCTTTCCAATAGCAGAGCAGAGACCTGATTTCAAAGCCTCAGAATGTTAGGCTTCAAAATTCTGTGTATTAGGACCATGTTAAAAATTCAAAAAGCCATGTATCTATGCCTGCTCAACTTAAATGAGCTTCATGGCTTTGAAATATACAGAAAGTAAACCAGAGCTTCACAATACTACCCATAAACTACTCTAGCTCCAGGAGCGGTCTTGCCAAAAAAAATCAAACCTGGATCTCATCTCATTACCAATTTGTAGGAAATACAGAGTAAGGACAAATATGTCAAAGTGTACCATGGGGATGCTGGCAGCAAAACTCAGACTGCGGGAAACTGTGACAAATAATCCACTTTCTACAACAAATAAGGTAGGGGAGGGAGTTCAGAGGGAGATACTTTTAGTTTGGGAGAGACCTGTGGGATGTGTCAATCAGATGGTGTGGCCCATATTTGGATCTTGACATAAGCAAACTTTTCATAAAGTGGTATTTGTGAGGCTTTTGGAAATTTGAGTACTGATTGAACTGGATATTTGATGTTAGAGAGTTATTGTTTTAGATGTAGGCTAATGGTAGAATTAGGCTTTTTTGCTTTTGGAGGTATGTACTGCAATATATATGAAATAACGTCATAGCAGTTCCTTGTTTCAGAATAACACAAGGAAGGAAAAAGGAAGTGGAGGTAGGGGTGACCCAAGATGGGCCAAGAGTTGGTCATCACTGACGGTGGAATGGGCCAGCGGGGGTCTTTATACTATTTAGTTTACTTTTGTAAAGGTTTTAAAAATTGGTATTTGTGGATCTTATAATTTGTCTTGACTATGTAGCTGGCACTGCTGACGAGAGCAGAGTGAAACAGGTGTTTTCCTACCTTTCTGGCTGGCATAACCTTGTGGTAGCAACTGGTAGATTGTGTCAGAAGCCTTCAGATATTGGTACTGTTGCTACTTTGATTGCAGTTCTGCAAATCTGTCACAAGGAAATAACCCCAAATGTAGTGAAAGCTTTGCAAACAAAGTACACATTGCAACCATATTTATACTAGGGGAATCCTGGAAGCAACTTAAATGTTCAATAGTAGGACACGATTAAAGAAACTACAGCATGTCCTCTCTGTGGAATACCAAGCCATGTCTAATACTATTTTGTAAGACTGCATAACATATAGAATGATGTTTGTCATCATTTTAAGTCAGCAGTTCTCAACCTGTGGGTCGCGACCCCTTTGGGGGTTGAACGAGCCTTCACAGGGGACGCCTAAATACATCCTGCATATCAGATATTTACATTGTGATTCATAACAGTAGCAAAATTACAGTTATGAAGTAGCAACAAAAATAATTTTATGGTTGGGGGTCACCACAACATGAGGTCGTGGCATTAGGAAAGTTGAGAACCACTGTTTTAAGTAAAAATCTGATTTGAAATTTTGTGTATCTATACCATAACTTCAATTATTAAAAATTCAAAATCTATAAATCTTTGGTAATATAAAAGATTAAAAGAAAGTACCCCACATGTTATGATTATCTTTGTATGGGAAGACTATAAACAATTATCTTCTTTTTTCTCTAATTTTAGATATTTCCATAATAAACATTTTTTAACTTTCTTAATATTAACTTTAAAATAATAAAAATTAACTTTTAAAACTCCTAAATGTTAAAAAAAAAAAACTTTTAAGTATAAAATTTCTGGCATCTACAGTGTGTGTTTATCTGAAATCCACCTTGTCTACAGCCACACTACCCTGAACATGCCCAATCTTGTCTGAAAGCCATCTTAAGACACTTAAGACGTTACTAAAGCCATCCATCAGTTAATTAAAGTTAGCTACATTTTGATGTTTTTGAAACAATTGCCTAGCCCCAACACCTATAACTCAGTGGCTAGGGCTCCAGCCACGTACACCGGAACTGGTGGGTTCGAATCCAGCCTGGGCCTGCCAAACAACAATGACAACTGCAACCCAAAAATAGCCGGGCGCCTAAGTGGGATCCTCTTGTCCCAGCTACTTGGGAGGCTGAGGCAAGAGAATTT